AATGATATATACAACATGATTATAACTGCAATATCTATTTTAAAACATGAATAACAATTTGAAGAAATCTTAAAATAGCAGTAGATTGTGGTTGCATTTTTTGGCTCAGTTTTCTTTTACAAATTAAACATTTTTACTGTTGTTACTGTTAATATTCTATGATGATTAACAACATGCCAAATATTTCTGCATATTTCTTATGAATATAATGTAATACTGATGATTGAGTTTTGTTTTATTTTATTTATTTATTTATTTATTTTGAAACAGGGTCTCACTCTGTCACCCAGGCTGAAGTGCAGTGGCACGATCATAGTTCACTGCAGCCTTGACCTACCCGGGCTCAAGCAATTCTCCTACCTCAGCTTCCCAGTTAGCTGAGACCAGGTACACACCTGGCTAATTTTTCTACTTTTTATAGAGACAGAGTTTTGCCATGTTGCCCAGGCTGGTCTCGAACTCATAGGCTCAAGAGGTCGCCCACCTTGGCCAGAAAGATGGTGCTTTTTTTGTCCTTTCCTAACCCGCATCATCTTACTGCACCCAGAAGGATGATTGAATTTTAGAAAGAAAAAAAGTAAATCTATATTGATCCAATTTTGGCTTTTTTAATGGAAATCTCAGAGCAGCAATGTGTTTAAAGAAACTCCTTTTCTGCTGTTAGGAATGTCATTGGTATAGTGTTATATAGTTGGATAGTATGCCAAGAGGGGCATATTTCTTTTTAAATAACCTGATGGATATATAATTTACATGCCATAATTCTCCCATTTTAAAATGTACAACTGAGTGGTTTTTAGTATGTTCCCAGAGAGGATATACAGCCATCACGTCAATCTAAATTTAGAACATTTTCATCCTCTCAAGAAGAAACCCCATGCTCATTAGCAGTCACTGCCCATTACTCCCTCTCCACAGTCCTTGCCAGCCACTAATCTACTTTCTTTCTCTGTAGATTTGCCTGTTCTGGGTATTTCTTTCTTTTTTTTTTTTTCTTTTTCTTTGAGACAGAGTCTTGCTTTGTTGCCCAGGCTAGAGTTCAGTGGTGCAATCTCAGCTCACTGCAACCTCCACCTCCTGGGTTCAAACAGTTCTCCTGCCTCAGCCTCCTGAGTAGCTGGGACTACAGGCGCCTGCTGTCATGCCCAGCTAATTTTTGCATTTTTAGTAGAGGTGGAATTTCACCATGTTGGCCTGGCTGGTCTTGAATTCCTGAGCTCAAATGATCCACCCACCTTGGCCTCCCAAAGTGCTGGGATTACAGTTGTGAGCCACTGCATCCGGCTGAATATTTCTTATAAATGGAATCATATACTGTGTGGCCTTTTGTGACTAGCTTCTTTTTCCATAATGATTTCAAGGTTCATTCATGTTGTAGCTTATATCAGTATAGTCAGGCACTGCATAATGTTTCAGTCAATTACAGACCACATATATGTTGGTGGTCCCATAAGATTATAATGATCATATTTTTACTATACTTTTTAACATTTAGATACACAAATACTTAGCATTGTGTTACAGTTGCTTACGGTGTTCAGTATAGTAATGTGCTGTACAGGTTTGTAGCCCAGGAGTAATAAGCCATACCATATAGCTTAGATATGTAGTAGGCTCTATATCTAGCAATGTTTAAGTATACTCTATGATCACACAACAAAATGATGATGCAGTTCCCAGAACATATCCCCATCATTAAGTGATGCATAACTGTACTTTATTCCTTTTTATTGCTGAATAATATTCCATTGTGTGGATATAGTACATTTTGTTTATCCATCATTTGATGGACATTTGGGTTGTTGCCATTTTTGGCTACTATGAATAATGCTGCTATAAACATTCATGTACAGGATTTTGTGTGAACATACATTTTCATTTCTCTTGGATATATACCTACGAGTGAAATCATAATAACTCTATGTTTAACCTTTTGAGAAACTGCCAGACTCTTTTCCAAAGTGGTTGCACCAGCCGGACGTGGTGACTCACGCCTGTAATCTCAACACGTTGGGAGGCTGAGGCAGAAGGATCACTTGAGTGCAGGAATTTGACACCAGCCTGAGCAACATAGTGAGACACCATTTCTATTAAAAAGGAAAAAAAAAAAAAACAGAAGACAAAATGTCTGCACCATTTTACGTTCCCACTAACAGTGTATGAAGATAAGTTTTGCCACATTCTCACCAATATTTGTTATTATTTGTCTTCTTAAAAATTATAGCCATCCTAGTGGATGTGCAGTTATATCTCGTTGTTTTGATATGCGCTTTCCTGATGACTGATGTTGAGCATCTTTTTATATACTTATTGGCCATTTTTATATTTTCTTTGGAGAAATGTATATTTACGTCCTTTGCTAATTTTTTTTTTTTTTTTTGAGACAGAGTTTTACTCTATCGCCCAGGCTGGAGTTCAGTGGCATGATCTCAGCTCACTGCAACTTCTGCCTCCCAGGTTCAAATGATTCTCCTGCCTCAGCCTCCCAAGTAGCAGAGACTACAGGTGTGCATCACCATGCGCAGCTAAATTTTGTAGTTTTTAGTAGAGGTGGGGTTTCACTATGTTGGCCAGTATGGTCTCAAGCTCCTGACCTCAGGTGATTTACCCGCCTTGGTCTCCCAAAGTGCTGGGATTACAGGCATTAGCCACTGTGCTCGGCTGCCCATTTTTAAATGGGTTTATTTGTCGTTTTGTTATTGAGTTATAAAAATTCAATATCTGCCAGGCGCGGTGGCTCAAGCCTGTAATCCCAGCACTTTGGGAGGCCGAGGCGGGTGGATCACGAGGTCAAGAGATCGAGACCATCCTGGTCAACATGGTGAAACCCCGTCTCTACTAAAAAAATACAAAAAATTTGCTAGCCATGGTGGCACGTGCCTGTAATCCCAGCTACTCAGGAGGCTGAGGCAGGAGAATTGCCTGAGCCCAGGAGGCGGAGGTTGCAGTGAGCCGAAATCGCGCCATTGCACTCCAGCCTGGGTAACAAGAGCGAAACTCCCTCTCAAAAAAAAAAAAAAAAAAACTTCAATATCTATTCTAGATAAATGTCCCTTATTGGTTATGTGATTTCCACAATTTTTGTTTATATATGTTGCATCTTCACTGTCTTGATGGTGTCCTTTGAAGCACAAACTTTTTAAATTTTGATGATGTCTAACATTGTTTCTTTTGTCACTGTGGTTTTGTTGTCATATCTGTAGAAGGATATACTTCTGATTAAAATGATTTAGATGACATACTTCAGAAAACACTACCAGTAAAAACCAAATGGTGTAGTTTTGAGTGTTTATTGATCTTGGGGAAACTATTATACAAAATATGTCAGCTAATAAACAAGTTTTATTTTCCTTCCTAATCACTCAGAAGATAGGAAAACTGACAGATGGTAATTATTTCACATCTCAGAATTCTTTTAGAGTGGCATCTAAATACAATACTCAGTAGAAATTAGCCTTTGGACTACTATTCCTATATTTGAAATTTGAAAATACTTTCATAAATTAACATATGTTTACACACCAGGGACTAGTACATAGGTATTACCAACATCTATCTGTTTGTGTAGATATAAATTATTATAGCTGTATAGTGTTCTGTTGTATATGTACCTTGTATATGTATGTTGTATATGTACCTTGATTTGTTTAACCTGTTCCAGTTTTTTCCTTAGGTTAACTTAAACCTGTTTAAATCATTTATCTGAACTTATCATATGGTTATACAGAGATACTGTGCTATCGGTATTAGATTTGCAGGATATATGGAAACTTGAAGATCACTTTTGGATCTTCTATATGTTTTCATTAGCTATTTAATTCACTTTACTTCTGTTTTGTGTCAGGCACTGTGCTAGGTTCTAGCAACAACAAGATAGATAAAACATGATCTCTTTAAATATTTTTAATTCTGTACAGGGTGACAAATTCTATGAGATGTACATTATGTACTGTGATGAAAGAGTAATGATTCCTGCCTTTGGGTAAGGAGGAGAATGTGGTATATCACATGGTATTTGAGCAAAATAGTTATGTCATAAAAAGTACAGTAAAAATTTGATATAATCTTATGAGATCACCATCATATATGTGGTCTGTAATTGACTGAAAAGTTATGCAGCACCTTCCTGAACTGATACATGCTACAACATGAAGTTGTCCAATGGACAAAGAGAAAAAATAATCCATATAGAGCGCATGAGCAAAGGTATGACATGTTTGTATAATAGAAACGGGCCGTTATAAATAGAGTAGCTAGAGATGAGTCTGAAAAGTTAGCTGGGGAGTAGATTATGAAGACTTTTAAATCCATGCTAAGGCTTGCGAATTCAGAAATAGTAGAGAGCTAATGGAAGCTTTTAAACAAATGAAGAACATCTGTATGTAAAACCATACTTAATGACAGTGTGGAGAATGAGAGATGAGAAAGACTTGAGTCCTGGAGAATATTTGGAAGGCTGTTGTAGTAGTCTAGGTCAGTGGTCTTCAGACCATTGATCACACATCCCCATTAATTAAAATTTGTTTGACAGTGTACTAAAAAAAAATATAGATATAAATGCACACACATTTCAAACTGTTTTAATATGTAACTGTAGAAAAATTAAAGGTAAGAAAGAAAACTTTGAAATGAACTATTTAAAAATATATTTAAATAACTTGAACTTTTCAGATTAATAGTACAAAAAACTCTGACTGAATATGTGTCTCACACACTTGAACTACAAAAAGTTGCAGCATGCTGAAAATTAATGAATGAGGTCCACTGTTAACTCTTTTTTTAAAAAAAAATGAGACAGAGTTTCACTCTGTCGCCCAGGTTGGAGTGCAGTGGCATGAACATGGCTCACTGCAGCCTCCTGGGCTCAAGCAATCCTCCCACTTCAGCCTCCATAGTAGCTGGGACTACAGGCACACATCACCATGCCCGGCTAATTTTTGTATTTTTTGTAGAAACAGAATTTTGCCATGCTGCCTAGGCTGGTCTTGAACTCTGAGTCTCAAGTGATCCACCCACCTTGGCTTTCCAAAGTGTTGGAATTACAGGTGTGAGCCACTGTGTCTGGCCTTATGTGTTGCAGAACTCCCATTACTTTCCTAGGATTCCTGGTGTGCCATGTGTGGCACCTGACCATCTAACATGGAATAAATGAAGGCACCAGTGTCAATCCATATTCATGAATATTAGTAAATATTAATTCCTACTTGTTAGATGAAAATCATAAATACGTTTAATTTTTTCTCATACTTCAGCATAACCCTTGGCACCTCTGGTATGTATTTTCCTGGATTATAGGTAATGTATGCAAAGACAAAGTGGCAGTAGTGACAATGGAGGGCATAGATGGAAGATTTAGAAAAATAATGGACAATTTAGGTGTGTAAGAAAAGGATAGAGATAAGAATGGCTTCATAGTTCCTAGCTTGTGCAGTGGTAATGTTTTTAATAGAAATACAGATTCTGAAGGGATCTGTAGTATATACTATTTTGAATATTTGGAGGTTGAATTGCATAAGAAACATCAAAATGCACAAGTTCAATGGTTATTGGAAATAAGTGTCTAGAGCTCAGGAGATAAGTCAAAATGGAGATTGTAATTAGTCATCATGTAGGTGATAGTTAAAAACTGAGGAGGTATGTAAAGATAAAAGAACTGAGACTAGATCTCTGAGATACTATTATTTCAGGTTTGCCAGTGAAGACACACACAGATCAGAAAGGTAGGAGAACCAAGACAAAGTAGAAGCTGTTTCAGACAAGGCAAGGTAAGGATCATGATATTCTTTTTTCTTTTCTTTTCTTTTTTTTTTTCTTTTGGAGACAGAGTCTTGCTTTGTCTCCCTGGCTGGAGTACAGCAGCGCAATCCCTGCTCACTGTAACCACTACCCTCTGGGGTCAAGCGATTCTCCTGCTTCAGCCTCCCAAGTAGCTGGGACTACAGGCCCACGCCGTCAAGGCTGGCTGTATTTTTGGTAGAGACAGGGTTTCACCGTGATGCCCAGGCTAGTCTCAAATTCCTAAGCTCAGGCAATCTGCCCACCTTGGCCTCCCAAAGTGCTAGGATTACAGGCTTGAGCCACCACACCAGGCCTTAAGGATCATGATTTTCAAGGAACAAAGTTTGATAGCAGTGGCAAATGCTAAACAAAGCCAGGAGTGTAAAGACTGAAAATGCGCCATCATACATGGCAGTCATGTCGGTGACCCAGCCTGGAGCAATCACTTACACCTGTAATCCCAGCCCTTGGGAGGCCGAGGTGGGCAGATCACTTGAAGCCAGGAGTTTGAGACCAGCCTGGCCAACATGGTGAAACCTATTTCTACTAAAAATACAAAAATTAGCCCGGTGTGGTGGTACACGCCTGTAACCTCAGCTTGGATTACTTGGGAGGCTGAGAGAATTGCTTGAATCCAGAAGGTGAAGTTTGCAGTGAGCTGAGATCATACCACTGCACTCCAGCCTCGGCAACAGAGCGAGACTCTCTCAAAAAAAAAGGAAAAGGAAAAAAAAGAAGTCACTGGCCTGAAGAAGTCTTCTGAAAGAGAGTTGTTAGTGTCAGCCAGATTGAGTTATTTTTTTTTTCCGCAGTCTAAAATAATTTGTCAATTATTCATGAATACTAGAAATGTTTACTGCATTGGTGTGTTATATATGATTATAACAGCTTTCACCCATGTGAAACTTCCAATCTAATAGAAAAAAAGAATTCACATATGAAATGACTACAAAGATAGTCTGTAGTAAAATGCTCTGTATGAGCCAGGTGTGGTGGCTCATGCCTGTGATCCCAGCACTTTGCGAGGCTGAGGCAGGCAGATCACTTGAGGTCAGGAGTTCGAGACCAGCCTGGCCAACATGGTGAAATCCTGTCTCTACTAAAAATGCAAAAATTTTCTGGGCATGGTGGTGCGTGCTTGTAACCCCAGCTACTTGGGAGGCTGAGGCATGAGAATCTCTTGAACCTGGGAGGTGAAGGTTGCAGTGAGCCGAGATTACACCACTGCACTCCAGCCTGGGCAGCAGAGTGAGACTGTCTCAAAAAAAGAAAAATGCTCAGTTTGGATTTTATATTATAAAATATTAAAATTTTGGCCAAGTGCAGTGGCACATGTGAGTCCTGTAATTCTAGCATTTTGGGAGGCCAAGGCAGGAGGATTGCTTGATGCCAGGATTTCGAGGCCAGCTTGGGCAACATAGGGAGACCCCTTCTGTATGAAAAATTTAAAAATTAGCCAGGTATAATGGGTGTTACACCTGTAGTCCTAGCTACTCAGGAGGCTGAGCTGGGAGGAGTGCTCACTCCAGGAGTTGGAGGCTGCAGTGAGCCATGATTGCACCACTGCACTCCATCCTCTGGGTGACAGAGCACAATCTGTATCTTAAAAAACAACAACAAAAAAAGTATTAAAAATCTGATCTACCCAGCACTTTGGGAGGCCAAGGTGGGCAGATCACTTGAACTCAGAAGTTCAAAACCAGCCTGGGCAACATGATGAAACCCCATCTCTGCAAGAAATACAAAAATTAGCTGGGCATGGTGGCACACTCCTGTAGTCCCAGCTACTCAGGAGGTTGAGACAGGAGGTTGGCCTGAGCCCAGGAGGCAGAGGTTGCAGTGAGCCAAGATTGCACCACTGTACTCCAGCCTGGACATCAGAGCCAGACCTTGTCTCGAAAAAAAAAAAAAAGAAAGAAAAAAGATCTAAAATATAATCCTTTTCTTCTCTATTTGCACACCTTACATTTTATCTTGTTGCAAAAGTATTTATTGCCTACCTTCTCTGCTAGTAACCACAGTTATAAAGGTAAGTTCGAGATTAGAAAGACATAAAGAGAAACTGCCAGCTGTTTTAGTTGTGTTTTATAAACCTCTGGATGATTTTGGCATCTTGTTATACCTTAGCAATCTTCTTTCTGTCTATACTGTAGTCGTAGATAATGTGAATGGACTTTTGTGGAAACTATTCTTTCATGTTGTCTTCTGTAGACTAGAATAGTATTTTTCATTCTGCCTTTTGGGAGCAGAGAATTAAGAGGTACCTAATAAAGTGAGATGAAGGTAGATCTCTATGAGCTTATAGTATATAGCTCACAGGAAAATAATTTGCTCTCCTCTTCTTTACATTAAAGTTTCACTCTCCTACCATTTTTCTGCTGTATGAATCAGGAACTTACTCATACAGTTCTGTAAATTTCAGAAGTTAATGAAATTACTATTGAATTTTACCTTGTAGTCTGTGCACCAAAGCATGATGGAGTCAAAAGAGTTGGTATCAGAATGTAGGAAACAGTAATTGAGATAAGAGTGGTAGGATAGGCTGTACCCCTTTAAAAGATCTAATGTACTCAGGTAGATTTCATTTTTTGAATAATTGCCAGTTATTCTTAAGGATTCTTAAATTCTAGCTGAGGTTCTAAAAAATGCATCACAGTGTAATTATGCAAGAAAGGAAGCCACTAAAGATTGGTTAGACTTTCTTATCTGTGTTTATTCAGATTTTATTTCCCAAGCACTGTTTTAGAAGTTAAAATATTTTATGTATTTTTATTAGTGTAGGTTTGCTTATAGTAAACTAAGAACTGGTTTAACAATATGCATTTAAATATTTTGCCAAAAGTACTATATTTGAACAAAAGATTCCACTCCTAACCCTGTTGATAAAAGACTGGTGTTATAAAATATAGAGGAAACTCAGTTATCAGTTTATGTTAATTACCAGCATTATTCCTTTTTTGTGTTAATATACTATATTTGATGCTAAAGCATTGTAGTGTATCCTTTTGTTATTTGGAAGACTTCAGTATAATTCTTGAAGTATATTTGTGAGATAATTATGCTTAAATTTAAATATAAAAATACGTACTTGCTTTAATCTCCAAATTACTTTCACTAATATCCCATTTGATTCCTAAGACTATTATCTCATTTTTATTGATAAAGAAACTAAAGTTGGAGAGGTTAAATAACTTTCTTAACAATTTAGTGACAGAATGGGACTAAAAACTCATGCCTGTTTATTTCAGTACTTAGGATATCATATATTTTAAAGGTTTGGTTGATAGTTTTCCAATTCCAACTTTCAGCATAATACAGTAGCACCTTTGCTACTATAGCTAACTAGATGGCTTAGGAAGCCAGATAAATTACTATTATAAAGAGTTTTTTTCTCTAGTTCCACATGCCTACCTGTTAAAGATTCTAATAAACTACCCTTTTCCATAATAACCTTTGAGATAAGAAATGAGAATTTGCTGTCCCTAGATTTGTCATTTTGTTAGCTTGCATACTAAAATCTGCTGGATACCCATATTCCCAGCTACTCAGAAGGCTGAGAGGCAGGAGGATCACTTGAGCTTGGGAGTTCTGGGTTACAGGGAGCTATGATTGCATTATTCGAGCCTGGGCAACAAAAGCAAGACCTGGTCTCAAAAAAAAATTTTTTTTTTTTGCTAAAATTCTAAATACATGAATTTGGCCAGGCACAGTGGCTCACATCTGTAATGTCAGCACTGTGGGAGGCTGAGATAGGAGGATTGCTTGAGCCCAAGAGTTCGAGACCAGCCTGAGCTGGTGAGACCCTGTCTCTTAAAAAAAAAATTCTAAATATGTGAATTAATTACATCATATTAGTGTGCAGTTAAGAAACATAATAATAACTCTTGGTCCTCATGAAAGATGATTCTTTTTGTAGCATAGGTTTTGTCAGTTATGACTGTTGAGTGGAAAAATTGACCAGTGTACTATAGAATTCTACTACTATTTCCTTAAGGCTCTGAACTGAATTGTCAAATGTAAGTGTAATTATTCATAAGAGTAATATCTAATGCCATGATACAATTTACTGTGAGAAAATTTACAATGTTTTATTTTTTGGTATTTTTTAAATTAAATTTTACTGTAAGAGGGTATCACGGATTTTTCACTTTAATCTTAAATTTATATCTTCCCTGAGAATTGGTCATATACCTGCTCTTTGAACAGTTCTAGCAAAGATGAACTCAGGTACTTTATAAGGTAGTGTAATCCACTTTTGAATAACTCTGGTGGTTAGAAAATTGTGGAAGTTTTGTTTCAAAATCTGACTCTGTCTTATGTTCCAACTATTTTTCCTACTTCTTTCTTCCCACATACAATGGACTTTCTACTCAGTTTTTCACATGACAATCTATCAAAATAGCCAAAGACATATTCTTTAATTTTTTTGAGTCTTTCTTATTCCAGACCAAAAGTCCTTGATTTGATTTATTTTTACTCACATTACGTGAGTTTCTATTAGGATTGCCTTCTTCTTGTTATATTTGAATTTTTAGGGGTAGGGTGTTATATTTTTCACAAATTGAACAGAGTACTCCAAAATGTGAAATGATCTATGGTAATATGTGGTGGGATAGTTACCTGCCTTATTAAGTGGGTTATCTAAATATGTGCAACCTTAAGTACTTAAACATATGCAACTTCTGTTTTTTATTTTCGAGGAAGCCATATCATACTATTAGCCCATCTGGGGCTGGTAGTCATTTAGAGCCTTTTCCCACAGCAATAGTGGGTAAATTGAGATCCTCTAATTTGTTCTTGTTACCGTTGAACTGTTCAGACATACGTATTTAGCTATTACAGTTGCCGTTCTTATGTTTCTTCTTCATTTTGTTCATTGTTGTAGTTGTTAGTAACTTTTTAACACACTAATTTTATGTTTTTAACATGCTAGTCATGTCTTCCAAGTATGTGTTGTTGGAGGTTTCTTAAGTAACAGATATTTACTGATTACTTACTATATGTAGGGTACTAGATATGTTTCCTTTTCATATGGTATTGATAGTTTTCTAAGGTGGAAAGTTATTCCAGTGTTCAAGTATACTTAGAAAAAGTAGAGGAACTTACCCTGCCCCTTAATAAACACTCTGGTAATAGTGGAAACATATGGTACTGGCACAAGAACAGTCAAACAGACCACTGGGACAGTATAGAGAACTCTGATTGATTTATATATGAGAAGTAAATGAGATAAAAATGCCAGTACATTGTAGGGACATGGATGAACCTGGAAACCATCATTCTCAGCAAACTGACACAAGAGCTGAAAATCAAACACTGCATGTTCTCACTCATAGGCGGGTGTTGAACAATGAGAACACATGGACACAGGGAGGGGAGCACTACACACTGGGGTTTGTTGGGGGGAAACAGGGGAGGGACAGTGGGGGGAGGGGAGTTGGGGAGAGAGAGCTTGGGGAGAAGTGCTAGATGTGGGTGATGGGGAGGAAGGCAGCAGATCACACTGCCACATGTGTGCCTGTGCAACAGTCTTGCATGTTCTTCACATGTACCCCAAAACCTAAAATGCAATAAAATTAAAAAAAAAAAAAAAGCCATTACAAGTTGATTAGTTAAGTATAAGCTGTTTAGTAGGTGATAAGAGGAAACCTATTCACTAGATGGAGATAAATAAAATTGGGTCCTAGCTGTTTTAAAAGAAGAACCAAAATAATGTAGACAAAACTATAAAATTAATAAAACATAATTTATCTTTGTGACTTAGTATTAGAAAAGTATTAATACCTCAAAAGCTTGAAGTCATAAGGTGAAATTTAATTTGATAATGTTCTCAAATTCATTAGTAATAAGAGAAATCTAAATTAAAAAGTGCTTTTAGTTTATACCAATTAGGCTGACAAAAGTTAGAAAGCAAAGCTGGGTAATGCCACATATTGGCTGGACGTAGGGAAATAGGAGTCTCAAGGAGTGCAGATTAGTGTAGCCATTCTTGAGAGCAATTTGGCAGTTCATCATTTACCTGATAAAATTCACTTTGATCTAACAGTCTGTTTCTGGGTCTATAAGTAGAGATTAATTCTCACACAGGTTCATAAAGGGACATGTACGGTGATACCATTTCAGCATTGTTTTTGGTGTCTGGCAATTAAAGATGTGAATCTGCAGTGCTGGGGGAGTGGATAGAAAACATGTAGAGTGCTTTGCATCAATCAGAAACAGTGAACCAAGTCACTGAAATTGCATACAACCATTTTTTTTAACAGATAAATCTTTTAAAAATATACCACAGCAACATGAATAGGTTTTAAAAAATCTAACACAGAGTGTAAAGGTAGGAATATATATAAACAGAAAAATGTTAGTCAAACAAATTAGAAGAATAACTTCTTGGGAAGGGGAATGGGGATAGGAAATGGAGATGGAAAGTTATGAGTCAACCAGTTAGAAGGGCGGTATTATACAGATGATGATAACATATTATGAACTGAGGAGTATGATTAAATTTATTGTACCCAAGGAATAAAAGTGGGGCTTGGGAACTTATTTAGCAGTGAATGTAAATTGGGTTGGAGTTAAAAAAAAAAAAAAAAACACGTAAGAACATAAAAAAGAAACTTAAAATAATCCAGGTACAATGACATGAGGTTTTTCTTTAGGAATGTGGTAATTGGGAATGGAAAACAAAGGATTGGTATAAGAAATACTGCAAAGACATGGAGTCAGTAACCAGCTGAGTAAAGAGATAAACCAAGTTTTGAATCTGGGTAACTAGGAAGATAGAGATACTATCAATTAAACAGGAGTAACAAACAGAAGATAACCACATTTAACTCTGATGAGATGTGTTGAATTCAGTTCTAGATGAAGTCCATTGGAAGTTCCAGCATTTCATTGAGGTAGATTTTTCACTGTTAGAACATTTATTGAGGATATACTATACGTGTGTGTGTGTGTGTGTGTGTGTGTGTGTGTGTGTGTGTATCCAGGATATATATATATACACATGTATGTTTCTATATTTTTGCTAAAACTGTAGCGAAACGTGGTGTATGTGGATATATATATATATATATATATATAAGTATATATATAAGTATACATTGATATATAAGTATACATTTATATATAAACGTATATATATTTTTTAATTTTTATTTTAAGTTCAGAGTTACATGTACAGGTTTGTTATATAGGTAAACTTGTGTCATAGGGGTTCATTGTACTACTTATTTTGTCACCCAGGCATTAAGCCTAATATCCATTAATTATTTTTCCTGATACTCTCCCTCCTCCCACCCTCTACCCTATGGTAGACCCCAGTGTCTATAGTTTTCCACTCTGTATCCATGTGTTCTCATCATTTAGCTCCCACTTACTAAGTGAGAACATACAGTATTTGGGTTTCTATTCCTGCATTAGCTTGCTAAGGATAACAGCCTGTAGCTCCATACATGTTCTGCAGAGGACATGCTCTTGTTCTTTTTTATGGCTACATAGTATTCCATGGTGTATATGTACCACATTTTCTTTATCCAGTGTACCATTGATGGGCATTTAGGTTAATTCTGTGTCTTTGCTATTGTGAGTAGTGCTGCAGTGAACATATGCATGCATGTGTCTTTATGACAGAACAATTTATATTCCTTTGGATATATATGCAGTAATGGGATTGCTAGGTTAAATGGTAGTTCTGTTTTTAGGTCTTTGAGGAATTGCCACACTGCTTTCTACATGGTTGAACTAATTTACACTCTCACAACAGTGTATAAACATTCCATTTTCTCTGCCACCTTGCCAATGTCTTGTTATTTTTTGACTTTTTTTTTTTTTTGAGATGGAGTTTTGCTCTGTCATCCATGCTGGAGGGCAGTGGGGCGATCTTGGCTCACTGCAACCTCCCCCTCCTAGGTTCAAGCAATTCTCCTGCCTCAGACTCCTGAATAGCTGAGATTACAGGTGCCTGCCACCATGCCCAGCAAATTTTTGTTTATTTAGTAGAAATGGGGTTTCATCATGTTGACCAGGCTGGTCTTGAACTCCTGACCTCAGGTGATCTACCCACCTCAGCCTCCCAAAATGCTGGGATTATAGGCGTGAGCCACCACACCTGGCCTATTTTTTGACTTTTTAATAGTAGCCATTCTGACTGATGTGACATGGTATCTCATTGTGGTTTTGATTTGTATTTCTCTAATGATCAGTAATGTAGAGCATTTTTTTCATGTGCTTGTTGGCTGCATGTACATCTTCTTTTGAAAAGTGTCTGTTCATGTCCTTTGCCCACTTCTTAATGAGGTTGGTTTTTTCTTGTAAATTTGTTTATGTTAAAGCAGGATATTTTTTATTCCTAAGATGTTTTGGCCCTACTATTTCAATCTCCTCCATTTAGATCCTTAGAGTGATGTGACTGGGTTGCCCAGAATTAGTAAGTTTGAAATTATATCAGTTTACTGTTGAGTAAAAACAAAAATGACAAAATGGTTAAAACATCCCAAAGAATTAGATCTGTAAAATTTCACCTAAGAAACCAGATTTAGGTTGGATGCAGTGGCTCACGGCTGTAATCCCAGCGCTTTAGGAGGCCAAGGCAGGCAGATCACCAGGCCAGGAGTTTGAGACCAGCCTGGTCAACATGGTGAAACCCCATCTGTACTAAAAATACAAAAAGCAGCTGGGCATGGTGGTGCACACCTGTAAGCCCAGCTCCTCAGCGCCTGAGGCAGGAGAATTGCTTGGACCTGGGAGGTGGAGGTTGCAGTGAGCCAAGATCACACCTCTGCACTCCATCCTGGGTAACAGAGCAAGACTGTCTCAAAAAAAAATAGAAATCAGATTTAGTATAAAATGGCAGAAAATCATCAAAATTTATTCTGAACTCAAAAATGAATAGGTGAATCAAAATTTTGTTGTAAAATTTACTCTAGAAGACACTTGATATTGTTTTCAGTAGTTTCAGTAAAACAAAATTGAAAAAGGAGGGGAAAAAAAAAAAAAAGAAACTTTGTGCCAAGTAGAAAATTGCTTTGGGTATCAAGTCATCTTGATTTTTCTGTTATTCCAGAAAATGCTGGGTTCCTGCCCGACTTGACTGAGGTAGACTTGAATCTTTTAAATTAGTTTTAGATTATACCAATACTATGTGAATATATTCTCATTGTAACATATTTAGATTTTATAAATAAAAGTGACTCTGTGACCCTGTCACTTCCTTCTCCAGAGGTAATCACTATTTGGAATATATCCTTTCAGACGTCTTTTCTCTGCTTTTACAAATGTGCGTACAAAAAATAAATACTGATTTGTGAAAATCTGGTATTCCCTGTATAGTATGTAATTTTTAAATGTATAAGTCTGGAATATCTTTCTATGTCAGTTACATTGGATCAAATGTTTGCTGGATAAAAATGGAGGTTTTATAATATCCTTACTGGCTAGGTTCTGTAAGGATGGGAGGAGAAAGGAATACAGTTATGTTTGCTGCTCTCAAGAGACTCACAGAAGAATTAAAATATATAATCATTATAATAGACAGTGTTCTAATAGAGATATGTACTAGGTGCTTTGTTGGTACAGAGGAAAGAGTATCTACTCTTTGAGAAAGAGGTGACTGTGTTAGGGAGTGTTTAGAGATGGCGAAAGAGATTTTGAATCAGTTTCTAAGAATATTTTGCAGGTCAAATGTGTCTTGGAATGATTGAGTAATTTGCTCACTTCATTCTTCTCTGTCTTGTGAACTGCATGCCACCTTTGGCCAATAATCAATCTTTTTGGTATCTTAAGCCGTGGTTCTAAAAGCAAAATCTTTATCATATATGAATGTCTTTAAGAATTTTGACAGCTTTAAACAGTGCCAGAAATTACTTCAGTTAATATTTTTATATTTCATCTTGCAGAGGATTATGTGAATTTATTGTTTTCCTTCTTTAGGGAGGTGGTTGACTCAATGGTTCAGCATTTTAAAGTAACTATATTTGGAGACCGTAGACCAGTTTATGATGGAAAAAGAAGTCTTTACACCGCCAACCCACTTCCTGTGGCAACTACAGGGGTAAGATATGCATTCCTGTATTAGAAAGGTATATTTTTAAGTGTCTTCTTTTACACACATTTATTACCATTTTTATTATAATCCATATATATGTATTTATCACTGATTGTTTTTAACTTTTTATTTTGAAATAATTTCAAACTTACAGCAGAGTTGCAGGAATCATACAGAAAATTCTCATATACCCTTTACTTAGATTCATTGAGGTTCTGAATGTTTCCACATTTGTTTTTTTTTTCTTTCTCTCTTGTACATACATGCTTATTTTTTCGTGAACCATTCACAAGTAGGTTGCATACACCATGCCCCTTATTTATTTATTTATTTAAGACAGGATCCCACTTTGTCACCTAGCTGGAGTGCAGTGGTGTGATCTTGGCTCACTGCAACCTCCGCCTCCCAGGTTCAGGTGATTCTTGTGCCTTAGCCTCCTGATTAGCTGAAATTACAAGCACACAATACCATTCCTGGCTTTTTTTTTTTTTTTTTTTTGTATTTGTAGTAGAGACAGGGTTTTGCCATGTTGGCCAGACTGGTCTCAAACCCCTGACCTCAAATGATCTGCCCAGCTTGGCCTCCCAAAGTTCTGGGATTACAGGTATGAGCCACCGTGCTAGGCTAGTATTTAATACTTTACTATATATTCCTAAGAACAATGATTAAAACCCCTTGTACGGTTATCAAGTTCATTAAATTTATCATTGATATGATACTTTAATCAACAATACAAATTCCAGTTTTATCAATTGTTCTAATGATGCCCTTTAGCATTTCTTTTCCCCTCTGTTACAGAATCCAGTCCAGGATCATGATATAGATACCATGTCTTTCTTTCCCCAGCTTTTTTTTTTTTTTTTTTTTTTTTTTTCATGACAATAACAGTTGAAGATTATAGGCCAGTTACTTTGTAGAATGTCCTTCAGTCTGGGTTTGTATGATGCTTCCCCTTGATTACATTCTGTTTATGCATTATTGGCAGGAATATTATATAAGCGTTCTTTCCTTATCAATTTGTCATATCAGGAAGCACGCAGTATGTATTTGTTCCATTATTGGTGATGTTAACTTTGATTAAATTGGTGTCTGCCAGCTTTCTCCGATTGAGCTATTCTTTTTCTCCTTGTAGTAAATAAGTATCTTGTAGAGAGATTCTTTTTCTGATTGTGATAAAACATATATAACATAAAATTTACCATCTTAACCATTTTCATGGTACATCTCAATGGTATTAAACATATTTACATTGTATAATCATCACCACCATCCATTCCCAGAATTGTCTTTATCTTACAAAACTGAAACTCCATATCCAATAATCAGTATCATTGCTCCCTCCCTTCAACTCTGACAACCACCATAGTACTTTCTATCTCTAAATTTGACTGTTCTACGTACCTCACGTAAGTGAAATCAGAGAGTGTTTGTCTTTTTATGACTGGTGTATTTCACTTACCAAAATTTCCTCACAGTTTATCCACATTGTTGCATGTGTTAGAATCTCCTTCCTTTTCAAGGCTGAATAATTTTCCGCTGTATGTATATAACACATTTTGTTTATTCCTTCATGCATCAATGGACACCTTTTGGCTATTACAGATAATCCTGCTATGAACATAGATGTAGAAGTACTGAGACTCTGCTTTCAGTTCTTTTGGATATATACCCAGAAGTAAATTTGCTGGGTCATGTGATGATTATTAATTTTTTGAGAATCTGCTATATTGTTTTCCAAAATGGCTGCATCATTTTGCATTCCCACCAACAGTACACAAGAGTTCCAAACTCTCACTTCCATGCCAACTTGTTTTCTGGCTTTTTTGTTCGTTTGTTTTCTAATAGTAGCCATCCCAGTGGGCGTGAGATGGTATCTCATTGTGGTTTTTGATTTGCATGTCCCCCAACAATTAGTGATGTTAAGTATAATTTTGTATGCTTATTGGCCGTTTGCATATCTTCTTTGGAGAAATGTGTAGTCAAGTCTTTTGCCCATTTTTTTAGCTGGGTTGTTTGTTTTGAGTTTTGGGTGGTGATTGTAGTGAGTTGAAGGAGTTATTTTTTTTTTTTTATTTTTTTTAGCTAAACTTAATACCATTGTAGGAGTTATTTATATATATTCTGGATATTAACTTCGGTATTCTGGAGCTTAACTATATATATTCTGGATATTAACTTCTTATAAAATATATAATTTGCAACTATTTTCTCACATTTCACAGGTTACCTTTTCACTCTGTTGATTGTGGCCCTTGATACACAGAAGTTTTAAATTTTGAAATGGGAAATACTTTTAAGGATCCTGTTGCCCATTAGATTTTTTGGCAATTGACTATTCTTGCTTGAAAGGATTATTACTGTGTAGAAGTGGTGATTTTCTTTTTCTTCTTTTTTTTTTGAGACTGAGTTGCTCTGTCGCCAGGCTGGAGTGCAGTGGCACGATCGATCTCGGCTCACTGCAACCTCCGCCTCCCAGATTCAAGCGATTCTCCTGCCTCAGCCTCCAAATAGCTGGGACTACAGGCATGTACCACCACGGCGGCTAATTTTTTGTATTTTTAATAGAGACGGGATTTCACCGTGTTAGCCAGGATGGTCTCAACCGCCTGACCTTGTGATCTGCCCGCCTCAGCCTCCCAAAGTGCTGGGATTACAGGAGTGAGCCACTGCGATGGGCTAGAAGTGGTGACTTTCTAATTCTGCCATTCCTTCTTTGTATATTCATTAATCTGCTGTAAGGGAGAATATTTTCTTTTACTCTGTTTATTGATTTCACTGCCCAGACTGTCCCAGATTTGACCAGTGGGAACTCTTGTAAGCTGACTCCTGTGTCCTTTTGAAATGACACTTTTTGAGGAATACAGTCCTGCATCACCTAAAACAATGGGGTTATGCTCTGAGAAATGTGTCTTTGGGCAATTTTGTCATTGTGCTAACATCATAGAGTATACGTACACAAACCTAAATGGTATAACTTGCTATGCACCTACACCATTTAGTATGCCCCTTTATTGCTACAGACCTATGTAGGGTATACTGAATACTGTAGGCACTTGTAAGACAATGGTAAACATTTATATATCTAAACATATCTAAATATGGAAAAGCTACAGTAAAAATACATTATAAAAGATTTTTAAAATGGTACACCTGTATAAGGCAGCTTCATTAATCTAATGGGACCACTGTGTGTTTGTGGCCCATTGCTGACCCAAAATCATTATGCAGTGCATGACTCTACTTCATTACTTTCTGGCACAAGATGTTCCTGGTTTATTTTATGTTTCCCTGCTGCAGTCCTGCAACTAACCATTTCTCTGAGGAGCTCTGGTTTCTTTTAGTTGGCAAATGCAATTTTGAAATTAAAATTTGGGTATTGGTGTGTTCATTGCTGCTGGGGTATATGTGCTTCTAAGCCCTTTCAATGGATAGAGATAGGAAATATATAAATAAGTAGATAAATAAAACATAATAAAAACATATTACACTTTATATGGTAAATCTAACACACATGCATATGTGAAACACACACACACGTATATGAACTCATAAATTCACACCCGATTCTTCCAATTCCAGTCTACGCCCCATGGGATTCTCTTTTCCTCACTCCATATCATATTTGTATCTTCCTTCTTTAGTTAGATTCCTGGCTCCTCAAAACATCACCACTCCTCCTCATTTGCTGAGTCCTACAGTATATATAAAATAGTTTGTGGACTGGGCGCGGTGGCTCACGCCTGTAATCCGAGCACTTTGGGAGGCCCAGGAGGGTGGATCACAAGGTCAGGAGTTCGAGACCAGCCTGACCAACATGGTGACCTTGTCTGTACTAAAAATACAAAAATTAGCTGGGTGTGGTGGCACATGCCTGTAATACCAGCTACTCAGGAGGCTGAGGCAGGAGAATTGCCTGAACCTGGGAGGTGGAGGTTGCAGGGAGCCAAGATCGTGCCACTGCACTTCAGCCTGGGTGACAGAGTGAGACTTTGTCTCAAAAAACAACAACAAAAAAATAGTTTATGAATAACTATGCTCAGACCACTACAGAAAACAAACCTACTAATGTATTCAAGGCTATATTTTGTATGTAACTCTTCTTCTAAATCCACCCTTTCTCTAACTCTGGAATTAAGACTATTGTCAGTATACATACTATGTTCAAGAGTTACTTGAATTAGTCCTTCCTTTTTCCTTTCTTTCAATGTGGTTATGCTATTTATTTGAAATTTATTTTGGTTCATTTGATTCTGATTTAATTTTTTCCCATTTTTATTTATTTAGACAGGGTCTCGCTGTGTAACCCACGCTGGAGTGCAGTGGCATACTCATGGCTCACTCTAGCCTCAACCTCCCAGGCTCAAACGATCCTACTGCTTCAGCCTCCTGAGCAGCTGGGACTACAGGCATGCACCATCACACCTGGCTAATTTAAGTTTTCATAGAGACTAGATCTTGCTCTGTTGCCTGGGTTGGTTTAGAATTCCTTGGCTCAAGCAATCCTCCTGCCTCAGTGTCCCAAAGTGCTGGGATTACAGGAGTGAGCCACCATACCCGGCCTAAAATTGGTTTTGTTTTGTTTTGTTTTTGAGATGGAGTCTCACTCTGTCTCCCAGGCTAGAGCGATGTAGCACAATCTGGGCTCACAGCACCCTCCACCTCCTGTGTTCAAGCGATTCTCGTGTCTCAGCCTCTCTAGTAGCTGGGATTACAGGTGTCCGCCACCACACCTGGCTAACTTTTGTATTTTTAGTAGAGACAGGGTTTCACCGTGTTGGCCAACCTGGTTGAACTCCTGACCTCAAGTGATCCGCCTGCCTCAGCCTTGAAAAGTGCTGGGATTACATCCATGAGCCACTGCACCTGGCCTTTTTTTTTTTTTTTTTTTTCTTTTTTTAATGCATAGAACTTTAATATGATTCCAAATGTCAAAATTACATCAAAACATATACTCAGAGTTGTTCGGTCCTTATTTTTTCCAGTCCATTCCCTCCCATCCTTTGAAAGTAATTAGTTCTTTGTTTCTGGTTCATGCTTCCTATGTTTCTTTTTGTAGAAGTAAGCAGATATGTGAATATTTTCCTTCTTTCTCACATAAAAGATGTCATACTATTTGTAATCTTTTGTACCGTGCTTTTTCACTTAACAGTATAGCTTCAAAATTTATTCCACAGTAGTTTCAAGAGATTTTTCTCATTCTTTTTTCATAGCTGCATAAATGTTGGAGCATTTAGGTAGTTTCTAGTACTTTGCAATGACACATAATGCTGGCATGAGTAACTATGTTATTTAAATTTTCTCTACAAAAAAATAAATGGCATATTTTAGTCTATTGATTTTTTTATTTTTACCATGTTTTCTCTTAGATATTTTTGTAAGTTAAATCTAAAATAATTGTATTTATCTTTTTGAACATTTACCAGTCAACTCTTTTCCCATCAACAGGTAGATTTAGACGTTACTTTACCTGGGGAAGGTGGAAAAGATCGACCTTTTAAGGTGTCAATCAAATTTGTCTCTCGGGTGAGTTGGCACCTACTGCATGAAGTGCTGACAGGACGGACCTTGCCTGAGCCACTGGAATTAGACAAGCCAATCAGCACTAACCCTGTCCATGCTGTTGACGTGGTGCTACGACATCTGCCCTCCATGAAGTGGGTGCTTCTACTTTTTTTCTCTTTAGATTTTAAACTCCCAAGAATTGAATTTTGCAGCCTTCCTTTGCTTCACCTTTATTTGTCATATATTTTGATTGTTCAACTGAAATGTTGAACAGGAATAGCACGCATACAAATTCATTGACAGGAGTACGTTACAGAAAATTATCTGGCTTTTGCAAGTAACTATACATCATTAGCTCAGCTAGTCTCATGAATAATTTTATAGAAAAATGCCTCACCCTTACTCTTAGGATCAAAAGTTTTAACTAACATCTGTTTTCAGATGTATTTCTTTAGTTATATTATCTTGTTTTAAAAGCAGTTTCACTGTTTATACAATATTATCAAATTGTGTTGAATTGCTTTTTGTTAATCCTAGGACCTCACTTGTAGGGTATGCGCCTGTATGTGCACGCACATCTACCAGTGTATTTTTTATTGTTTGGTTGGAGTTTTTTTGAGACATGGTCTCACTCTGTCGCCCAAGGTGTAGTGCAGTGGCACAGTCATGGCCCACTGCAGCCACAACCTCCCAGGCATAAGCAATCCTCCTACCTCAGCCATCTGAGTAGCTGAGACCACAGGTGTACACCACTATGCCTGGCTAATTTAAAAAAAAAATTTTTTGTAGAGATGGGATCTCCCTATGTTGCCCAGGCTGGTTTCAAACTCCTGGACTCAAGTGATCCTCTCACCTTAGCCTCCCAGAGTGCTGGGATTACAGTGTGAGCCCACACACCTGACTCAGTATATTTTTTTAAAGAAAAATAGTATGTCTTGCAAAGACATTTATAGAAATATCTTTTTGATCAATAAGTATTTACTTGTTAACATTTTTAAGGTTGTAACTGCTAATTTTTAAAAACCTATTTTTTTGACCAATTATTTTAAATAAAGTTTATTCTTATTTCAACTAACAGTTTTGAGAAAGGAGAATTTCAGCAGATTTTTTTCATTTAGAGTGGGTAGTTTTTGCTTTCACAAATTTGGAACATGTTTAGTTTCATATATTCATAATGATATGCATCATTATGATAAATTAATTGTACTCTAGTCTTTCCTTTTCTGCAGATTTAAATACTTGTATGAGAAGGAAAGGATTGAACATGCCATTTTAATTTTTGTAGATACACACCTGTGGGGCGTTCCTTTTTCTCAGCTCCAGAAGGATATGACCACCCTCTGGGAGGGGGCAGGGAAGTGTGGTTTGGATTCCATCAGTCTGTTCGGCCTGCCATGTGGAAAATGATGCTTAATATCGATGGTAAGGGAACTAAAGCCATATTCTGTATTGGGTGGTAGATTTCTGTATGATGTGTATACATACATTTTATATGTAATTATACATACCGGAGTATTGAAGTAATATTTGGACATGTATCATGATCTACTGGAAAAACATTGTATTTTTATTTCGTTTAGAAAGCCTGTAGCACATGTCTTAAAATGCTGCTAAACATGAAGCAAGAGCATGAAGACAGATTTAAAAGCCCTGACTTGGTTATCTGAGCAATCTTCTATTATAACTCACTTTTGCCCTTTTAACTCTAAGCCAACATTTTATTATGAAATACATATTTTAAGAAAGATAATTCTGTTGGTCATGGTGACCCCCAGGTGTTATGCCTGCTGTTGATCTTAATGTGGTGCTAATTGCATTCTTGTTTTTAGGTGTTTTCTTACAAATGTTTTCAAGTTTATATAAAAGCAGAGAGAATAGTATGATGGACTACCATATAGGCAGCCATTACTCAGATTGTCAGAATTTTTCTACCTTTGCTTTATCCGAGTACATTTCTTCTTCTGTGGTAGTGTTTTTAAATCAAATCCCACACAGCATTTTATTTTGTCCCTACTAATTCAATGTGTACCTCTAAAACTATGGTGTTTTTTCTATTATTATTATAGCAGCAATGTCATTAGCATATGTAGGAAATTATAAACAAGCATTTATTTGAACCCTCTAATACCTGTCCATAATCAGATTTCCCTGATTGTCTGAAATATGCCTTTTTCTAGTCAGCTGGTTCTAATCAGAATTCAAACAAGATCCACACGTCACATTTGATTATTATGCCTTTTTCGATCTAGTAGTCCCATTTCCTTCCCTGTTTTCTTGTATGCCATCGACGTTTTACAGAAACTTGGTCACTTGTTCTGTAGAATATGTTCAAATCTGATTTTGTCTTTTTGTTTTCTTGTGTTATTACCTTGTTCCTCTATCCCCTTTATTTCTGGAAATGAAAGTTAGCATAGAAGTTTGATTCCATTCTGGTTCAGAATGCTTAAGTGCTTTATTGTGTCATATTAGGAAACACAGTATCTACTGGTCCCAATTTTAGTCATGCAAAAATCAGTCTCTAGGTTCAGGGATTTATCAGTAGATTCAGAGATCTCTCCATTATAAATTTCTTACTTAACATTTGAATTGCTAATATTCTGTTCACTGATTCTTGTGACCCAAATTGTTTATTTCACTAGGGATTACCAATGGTAATTTTTCTGTTTTTCTTTTTGCATTGGGTGGAATTTTTCTGTGGAAAAGCACAATGTCCTATTGATAATTCTTAAGTGTTTGAAGGCTTTCTTGCTTTCAGGCACAGCAGGATATTCCTTGCTCATCTTGTATTTCCTGCCCAGTACCTGAAATTAGACATTCCTCCAAGGATCCCTTGGATCCTTAAAGATTAGGGCATTTTTTGAACTGCACCTACCATTGTGTAGTATATGATTGAGAAGGGGATAGATTTAACCAGTTTTCTTTAGATGTATACTAGGGTTATTTTTAGCTATTTTCTGTTTCATATCATTTTATGTATATTAAGATATGTCTGTAAGATAAATTCCTGGAGGTTAGACTGATGAGTTAAGGGTAAATGTATTAATATTTGTAATTTGTGTCATTATTGCTAGATTACACTCCATAGAGATTGTAAATATTTTGCATCAATGAATGAGAGTACCAGTTTCCTTATATCTTTGCCACTAGAGTTGTCAAACTCTTAGATTTTTTTATCAATCAGATTTGTAAGAAATAGTTTCTTTGTGTCTTTTAAATTTGCATTTGACTACCTTTTCACAAATATAAGGTACTTGTGTTTCTTTCTTTTGAGATGGAGTCTCACTCTGTTGCCAGGCTGGAGTGCAGTGGTGCGATCCCGGCTCACTGTAACTTCCATTTTCCGGTTTCAAGCAGTTCTCCTGCCTCAGCCTCCCAAGTAGCTGGGACTACAGGCGCGCACCGCCATGCCTGGCTTAATTTTTTTTGTATTTTTAGTAGAGACAGGGTTTCACCATGTTAGCCGGGATGATCTTGATCTGTTGACCTCGTGATAATTAGGGAAATTAGCCCTTCATCTTTCATGAGTTGCAGATATTTTACCTAGGTTGCTATTTGTCTTTTGTCCTTTGGTATAGTGGAGTTTTTTTTGTTTTGTTTTTGTTTTGTTTTGTTTTTTGCTCTGCAGGAGTTTGTTTGTATGTTGGTGTGTGCACACATACATATGTATCGATCAGTCATTTCTTTTGTGACTTTTAATATTTGATAGTCCCATTTTCTCTTTTCAGTGTTTTCCAGGCCATTCTGATGTGTAAGCTTTAGAAATATCTTGTTTAGATCCAGTGATTGGGAGAGGACAGATTGTTATTTTTATTGAGATCTTACTAGATTTTTAAATTAAGTTTAAAATTGGCATCTTCAAGGTGTTGTCTTTCTGTCAAAGAATATACTGTGTCTTTCCATTTGTTCAAGATTACTTTTGTTTTCTTCAAGAGATCTTAAAGCTTTCCTCACATAAATTTTCATGTTTATTTTCTTCCTTTCTTTCTTTTTTGAGACAGAGTTTCGCTCTTGTGTTGCCCAGGCTGGAGTACAATCGAGCGATCTCAGCTCTCAGCAACCTCTGCCTCCCAGGTTCAAGAAATTCTCCTGTGTCAGCCTCTCAAGCAGCTGGGATTACAGGCATGCGCCACCACACTTGGCTAATTTTGTGTTTTTAGTAGAGACAGGGTTTCACCATGTTGGTCAGGCTGGTCTTGAACTCCTGACCTCGGGTAATCCACTCACCTCAGCCTCCCAAAGTGCTGGTGTTATAGGCTTGAGCCACCATACCCAGGCTATTTCTTGTTATTCCAGGATATTTTCCGGTTTATAGATTCTAATTGGTTATTGCTTATGTACATGCAAGCATTTGTTTTCTGTATACTTTTTCTCTTTCTGTGTTATTGAATTCCATTATTGTTTGTGGTATTTTTTTCAAATGATTTTCTTGGGGCTCCTGGGTTATAATCATCAGCTGCAACTAGTGATAAGTTTACCTCTTCCTTTGGATTTTTGTTTGTTTTTTGTTTTGTTATTGTACATGGGGCTCTGGGGTTGCATTTTTATTCTCTTTTTTTTATCAGATTATATAGACTAATTAGGATAGGATTAAATTGTAGTGATTAATGTGCATCCTTTTTTTTCCTTGCTTTAGAAGCATTAAGTATTGTATGTTTGTATGTATTGTCATATTAAGGAATAGCTGTTGATTCTTGTTTTATTAAGTACGTTTATCAAGACTATGTGTTAAATTTTGTCAGATGTCTTTTCAGCATCTATGGAGCTGACGATGTGATATTTCTCTTCTTTTTAACAAACATTGAACCAAACCAGCACTCCTCGATTCTTTTAATTGATGCTGGATTCTGTTTGCTAATACTTTACTTTTATAAATTAAAATGCAAAAGTCAGATTAATCTGCTGTCTTCCTTTTTTGTACAGTCTTTTTCAAGTTTTGGTATTATTTCCTAAAAAATTAGAAGTTTTCCATTTTCTAAAATGTATAACAGGTTTTTTGTTTTGGGTTGGTTTGGTTTTTGGTTTTTGGTTTTGAGACAGAGTTTCACTCTTGTTGCCCAGGCTGGAGTGCAATGATGCAATCTTGGCTCACTGCAACCTCTGCCTCCCAGGTTCAAGCAGTTCTTCTGCCTCAGCCTCCCAAGTAGCTGGGATTACAGGCATGTGCCACCATACCAGGCTAATTTTTGTATTTTTAGTATTGTTGGGGTTTCACCACGTTGGTCAGGCTGGTCTGGAACTCCTGACCTTGTGATCTGCCCACCTTGGCCTCCCAAAGTGCTGGGATTACAGGCGTGAGCCACCTCGCCCTGCCAAATGTATAACAGTTTTAAAATAGTATTGATATTATCAGCTCTTTTATGATTTTGTGGAATTCTCCTGTGAAACTGTGTGACCTGGTGTGTTTGTTTTTGTTTTTGTTTGGTTTGGTGGGTAGCTATTTTAAAACTTCTTTCATTTATTTTGTGAAAATCAGTCTAATAATTTATCATATATTTTAAAATAACTAAAAGTATAATTGGATTGTTTATAACACAAAGAAAGGATAAATGCTTGAGGTAATGGATATCCCATTTGCCCTGATATTATGCATTAAATGCGTGTATCAAAAGCTTATATAACCCATAGATATATATACCTACTGTGTACCCATAAAAATGTTTTAAAAAACCAGTCTGTTCAGGCTGTCTGGGTTCACTTTTGGTAGCTCACATTTTACTGGAAATTTATTTATTTTATTCATATTTAATATTTTTTTTTTTTTTTTTGAGACTGAGTTTCACTCTTGTTACCCAGGCTGGAGTGCAATGGCGCGATCTCGGCTCACCGCAACCTCCGCCTCCTGGGTTCAGGCAATTCTCCTGCCTCAGCCTCCTGAGTAGCTGGGATTACAGGCACGCGCCACCACGCCCAGCTAATTTTTTGTATTTTTAGTAGAGACGGGGTTTCACCATGTTGACCAGGATGGTTTCGATCTCTTGACCTCGTGATCCACCCGCCTCGGCCTCCCTAAGTACTGGGATTACAGGCTTGAGCCACCGCGCCCGGCCTATTCATATTTAATTTAATTATATAGAGTTTTACAAAGTAGTTTCTATTGTTATTATGATTATTTTTTTTGAGACAGGGTCTTGCTTTGTGATCCAGGCTGGAGTGCAGTGGCGCCATCTTGGCTCAGTGTAACCCCCGCCCCCCAGGCTCACGCAATCTTCCCACTACAGCCTTCTGAGCAGCTGGAACTATAGACACATGTCACCAAACCCAACTAATTTTTGTAGAGACAGGATTTTACCATGTTGCCCAGGCTGACTCTAACTCCTGGGCTCAAGAGATCTACCTTCCTTCGTCTCCCAAAGTGCTGGGATTACAGGCATGTAACACTGTGCCCAGCCAGTTTCTATTATTTTGTGAAATTCTCTGTATTT